CTAAAGCAGCTCATTTTGCTGATATCAGTGAAACTGATATCAGTTTCACTGATATCAGCAAAACAAACTCGAGTCGCGCGAGGGAGAGCGGTACGTTTACCGACTTGCAAAGACCCGCCATCGCCAGACCGAGGATATAGAAAAATTCTTCGGCATAAATGACGAGAATGGCCACCTCTTGACGGACCGCAAGAAAACACTGAAACGATGGCGTGACTACTTCGAAAACATCTCAACAGTCGAATTTACTCATCCCGCCATCCCCTGCGCTCCGCCAGTACACGGTCCCGTTCAGAAGATAACCGTGGAGGAGACCATCACGGCCATGAAGAAGATGAAATCAGGCAAAGCAACTGGTCCTGACGACTTAGCGGCGGACTTGTGGAAAAAATGCTGGAATCCTGCAGAATGGTTGACGGAGTTCTTCAACCAGATCGTTGCAGAGAAGAAGGTGCCTGAAAGCTGGCAACAAAGCACGACGATTCCTATCTGGAAGAAGAAGGGCAGTCCAGGAGACTGCACTAGCTATCGTCCAATTCGCCTGCTCTCGCACAGCATGAAAATCTTTGAGCGAGTTGTAGATAGCCGTATCCGGGACATCGTCGAGCTGACCACCAACCAGTGTGGTTTTGTGGCTAGTTGCAGCACTATCGATGCCATACATGCCGCTCGCCTTCTGCTAGAAAAGCATCGCGAGAAACAAAGACCGGTGCACCTTGCCTTCCTAGATTTGGAGAAGGCATTCGACCGCGTTCCGCGTGACGTTATATGGTATGCCTTACGACAGCATGGCGTGCCTGAAGAGCTTATTGAGTGGGTGCGCATCCTTTACTCGAGTCCAAAGAGCCGAGTGCAAACGGCAGCAGGAACATCGATGGATTTTCCCATCTCTGTCGGGGTACATCAAGGCTCTGCGTTATCCCCACTCCTATTTGTTGTCGTCATGGATGCCATTACGAGAGATCTCCAGAAGCCGGCTCCATGGACGCTTCTTTATGCTGATGACGTGATGCTCGCTAGCGAAGATAAAAGCACGCTCGAGCAACAGGTACAAGCCTGGTCCGATCGTCTAGCTATGTTCGGGCTCAAGCTGAACGTTAAGAAGACTGAGTACTTGACCACCGATTCGAGTGAGTTAGGCTCTATTAAGATCAATGGTACTGAACTCACTCGTGCAACATCATTCAAGTATCTTGGATCAGCAATCGCGTCTGACGGCAGCCTGGTCTTCGAAACGAATTCTCGCGTGAATGCAGCCTGGTCGAAATGGCGCTCGATGACTGGCGTTCTCTGCGATAAAAACATGCCAGAACGTCTCAAATCTAAGATCTATAGGACCGTCATCCGGCCGGTCGCGATTTACGGTGCTGAGTGCTGGCCTACGACTAAAGAGATCGAAGCACGGCTAAGTGTGATGGAGACCAAGATGCTGCGATGGACAGCCGGAGTCACACGAGTAGACCACATTCCGAAACGATGTCATCAGAGAGCGATTCGGGGTGGCTCCAATTGTCGACAAGATGCGCGAAGCCCGTCTTCGATGGTATGGTCATGTCCTTCGCGCGAAAGATGACAGTGTCTGTAAGATCGGTCTCAACCTTGACGTGCCCGGAAAGCGGCCTAGGGGGCGCCCGAAGCAGCGATGGCTCGATACATTGCACGTAGACTTGAAGTCAGTTAATATCCACCCAGATCAAAGCATCGGGAAAAGTGGCGTCAACACATAAGAAAAGCGGCGGAGGTGATAGTACGATGGAGCAATGTAGGGCTATACGACAGATGTGGTGTCGTGGTCCAGCCAGTTTCCCTCGAAACGTGGCGAGTTATCTTTGCAATGTGATTTCGGGCGGTCCTCCGGATAAAGGAGATTTTGAGACTTTTCCAACCGTCCTCCCGCACTGCTGCGGCCAACTTTGGAAGCTATTCCATGGTTACCTTCGCAATGCTTGTCTGCATAAAGTGAAATGGTTCTCAAAACGGGATACCCAGCGAATCCAACAAAACGGGGGTCACACCCTCTGATGAAACAGCTCGGGTTTTGGTTGATGTGCTGCGTCCAGGCTGCGAGGTAGCCACCGGGCGAGCCGCGTGTTGTTATCGTAGGGGACTCATGACTCATCTGCACTGGTGACCAACTAGGGAATGTCTTGTCTATACGGTCGCAGAATGAAACTTCTGCAGATGGTCAGGCGTGCTTCTCGGTCATGGTCAGTCGATGCATGCTGTTTCCATCGAGGCTTCATTCTGCTACAGCCCCTTCCATTCAGGTGTCGACTCATGGAGCGTAGGCTGCGTCCAGATGTTTGCTACAGTTTCCTGCTAATAGCGTCCGGATGCACTTCCTATTCGTAGCGCAAGGGTCCTCATCGAAAGTGACTGGGGGTCCATGATGAGGTCGAACTTTGCAGCTCCTATCGCCTTTGCCGATGCTATTGAGCCAATAGCTCAGTGCCCGATCAGTAGCAAAGACTGGGGCAAACGTAGCGCTGATCTTGCCTACCGCGCTCCTTGCAAGGTTCTTCTTAAAATTGTCGCAAGGCAAAATCGTTGGGTTTGGTTGTTGATCTATTTTGATTCCTACTTAATTATCCCTTTGCGCACTTAAGCTTCTGAATCATCCTGGCTGAAGGTCCTGATGTGTTCTTCAACATATTAACTTATTTCATCATGAAGCTAATTTGACATGAAGAAAATTGAATTTGAACCAAAATCGGCCACAAATTATGGACCAACCCAATGGAATTCGGCAAGAATTCCGAAGGGAAAAATAAAGAGGAGATGTTGTCATAGTATGCCATTTTTAGTGACTAGTTTGTCGTTTTTTGCTCCGTTTCTCGTTTGCTCGTTTGGTAGGACTCATCAATAATGATCATTCTTTGACTTTTTCACTTTTGTACTTCTTAAACGAATTTTTTGGTGGACGGTGGGGTAGCAGGGCTTTTTTATGAACAGTTTTGGGGAGAATTAAACAACCTTTTCATAGTTCGGCTTTTGAAGAGGGTCGTTTCATGGACTTCGGCCTTTGGGGAGGAGGGGGGGGTCGTATTTCCGAATTTTCCTCGACGGTTCGCTTGACCCTGCTCACATGTGTTGTGTAACCCGTGCGTGATACACCACGTGCAGCCCACAGTACGCCATCGATTATCTATTGGCTATTCATGGGCCGAACGTCTTGATGCCCTTTCTGAGGGCTTCTGAATTGACTATATTCAAGAGGAAAAATGACATGGAAAAGAGAAACGAAAGACAAGGGATGTGTTGCGTGCGCTGACAATTTTACTTACACCATGCCCCCTCCCTTAGGCCGATGTCAGACTTTGCGAATCGCGCGATTCGCTAGCGTCTGCGGTCGCGTCGCGGCCAGTGAATCACTCAATTGGCTGGTACCGCAACGCGACCGCGGACGCTAGCGAATCGCGCGATTCGCAAAGTCTGACATCGGCCTTAGGGAGCAACTGTTTGACGTACTATCCTGCCATGAACCACCAACATCAGGTTTCAATGAATTTATTATATTAAGCCCGTCTTTTGATATTCTTGTGCTATCACAATAACAAGCAACAATACCGTACTGTATTCACAAATTCTCAAAACTACAATCGAAAATACCCGCTCCGGGTGGAAACATTCTGGGCGCTTGTCATTGTGTCAGTCTTCTAATACCGCTTCCTTACTATGGGATCTATCATAAAGAGGAACAGTGAGAGGTTCGACTTTTTCAATGCCTTCGGTGAGTGGCCTGAGCTCCTGAGCATCATCATCGCTTTCGCTTGTTTTCTTCGGCTCGTCTTCTTCGTCAACCAGTTTCAAGCCTTTTGCCCAGTAGATCACCCAAATATCGGACAATAACGAGAAAAGACGTAAACCTCCGTAAGATGGCGTGCAATCTTGAATAAGATAAATCATCGGTAGCGCCGTATCTCCATATTTCGTTCTACCGTCCCCATATAATGCCTACCTATCCTAAGCATGATCCGTTGCCACAACTCACCGGCAGGTCTAGTTGCCTGCATATTTCTCTCAAGCCACATCTTCAAACACCAACGCAAGTCAATACTTACCCCAAAATACCTGAGAGTGGCGAGGGTGCTGACAACTAATTTTAGTAGCTTACCTTTCTTCCCGCCGCTACTAAATGTAGCTTAGGGAAAACATTCCACTAGAGCCTAGTACACGACGAGGAAACTATTAAATACCCTTAGTGAAATACTAACGGGCTCCGGGGTCCAGGACCTCTGAATACACTTAATGATCGTGCACTAGCAATAAAAATCCGTAGACAAACGATGCTTCATCCTACCTCAGAACAATCACCCCTTCATGAACAACGAAAGGCCCGACCCAAAAACTGAGCCCTATGCCCATTGCAACCCAAAAACATATGAACTGCTATTGCAGCCTGCTCTGAAATGAGATAAGCATGACTAATCGAGACAACACTAAAAAATGTGAAAATTGATAGGGCACTACCATTGCCCCGTGAGCTTCGTTCAAGAATCCGCAGTATTAGGCCGATGTCAGACTTTGCGAATCGCGCGATTCGCTACTAGCGATTCGCGCGATTCGCTAGCGTCCGCGGTCGCGTTGCGGTACCAGCCAATTGAGTGATTCACTGGCCGCGACGCGACCGCAGACGCTAGCGAATCGCGCGATTCGCAAAGTCTGACATCGGCCTAGGGAAGAAGAGTGGATGACGCTAAGGATAGGAGTGTTATTAATCCCTACTCGTAAGTATACTTTGACGAGGACCCGTTGGACCAGTTGGATCAGCCTTGGAAACGATCCTGAGCCAGGGGAGGACATCCTTGCTCTAGCCAAAGGAAAGGTGGACACGGAAGGAGCTCCAGGGTGTGAGGACCCATGACTAACTGCGAAAAGTGGGACAGGACCTGCATAGGATGTGAAGGACATGAGATACCACACAGGTCCTCGGGAAGCTCCTTCAAATGAGCCAACTGTGTTATCAATACTCTGTCCTTAGAGTTAGACATGCAGACCACACCGAACTGCCCCCATAGCTCCACAACCCAAAAGTGATATATAACAAAGTGTTCAACTAAAACCAAACCGGTAGGACAGTAATCCCTGCTAACGGCTAGGTCACGAGTTCCAGAACATTCGCACTCCGTGAAGGTCAGTGGCATCCCTTTCTCCATCTGAAGATGTACTATAGCACTAGGAACTCAATGGCCCTATGGTCCTTAAAAAGTATACCTTTGTGTAGATACTGAAATTGGCTCCGCTCAAAGGACAACCGGCTTGACAAGGCGAGTAAAAGACGTCTCCTCTGGAATCCAAATAATATTTTTGACTATCGCTATAAAAAAACAGAGCGCCGAAGCTTCGGATGGGAGACCTTTTTGCTCATAACTTTTTAAAAACCTAAAATATGACTCACCTTCTATTGCAAACCGGATAGAAAGGCATCCCGTCACAAACGCAATCCTTTCGGCATGAGGGAAATGAAAAGTTGTTTGCTCTGAAATGTTTGCAAAATTATCTTCGAGCAAGAGATTACTTGAATTCTCTCTCCAAAACCTTCTAAGATGCATGCCTACATTTCCGAATCCCGTCCATCACAATTCCCCGGTCACAATTACGTTACGTTGTAGAAGCGTGAAGCTGATGGATGCAAAACAGAGCTAGAAATCTTCGAGACCATTCCTTCCCAGTTGCGGACATTCTTTGCCTACGGCCTATTCATCGGTACCGTTATAGTCTCTGAGGATGCAAGCTTCAATTCATTACTTTCATAAGATTTCAGGCCCTTCATCCTACGCGACCCCTCATGAAGAAGAAGAAGAGAATATGTATCAACGTCGATCAATCCTTCGGGGCGTGCCACGCATCCTACGTTCATTCAGAATCGTATTGGCATTTGAATGCGACTTGGCCTACTCAATGAGTTCGTGAGGAATAGTA